ACCCTAAACCCCTAAACCCTAAACCCTAACCCTAAACCCTAAACCCTAAACCCTAAACCCTAAACCCTAAACCCTAAACCCTAAACCCTAAACCCTAAACCCTAAACCCTAAACCCTAAACCCTAAACCCTAAACCCTAAACCACCCTAAACCCTAAACCCTAAACCCTAAACCCTAAACCCTAAACCCTAAACCCTAAACCCTAAACCCTAAACCCTAAACCCTAAACCTAAACCCTAAACCCTAAACCCTAAACCCTAAACCCTAAACCCTAAACCCTAAACCCTAAACCCTAAACCCTAAACCCTAAACCCTAAACCCTAAACCCTAAACCCTAAACCTAAACCCTAAACCCTAAACCCTAAACCCTAAACCCTAAACCCTAAACCTAAACCCTAAACCCTAAACCCTAAACCCTAAACCCTAAACCCTAAACCCTAAACCCAAAACCCTAAACCCTAAACCCTAAACCCTAAACCCTAAACCCTAACACTCGCAAAAGAGAAAACATACTCGCACAGTTAGAGACGCGACACATGCATGCATACACGTTGTTTATTACGTATTTCAAAACTCAAAACACACTCGCACAGTTAGAGACGTGATACATGCATGCAATACACATTGTTTATTACGTATTTCAAAACTCACCTAACACTAAAGAGTAGTAACCGGATAAAGCGGATATTGTGAAGCATAATAACAAAGGGTGTTCGTAGTTGCATTCGATTGATGCCGATGATGCTGAGCAACAATCCACTTACTAAAAGCTGTTCAGTGCGGTGGTGGCTTTGGATGTGGTGATACTGAGTAATAGTCTAAAAGTTGTTCAGTGCGGTGGTTGCATTGGATAGCTTCATGCCAAAGAACGTGATGATAGCAACAGTCTACATCCTGAACACCCAACAATCGCGGAAGTCCGCTGGGTAGTTGTCGGGTTGAGAGCCGAAGTTGTGCCTCATTGGTTTTGTGTGCTTTTCCTATGGCCTGTATGCATTTGGGACATTTTCCTTCATTTTTTATCCAAAACCAAACTCAGTCTTCTTTCTCTGCCTTTCATATTGCCCCCTTGAGGAGTTTCGCCCTCATTGTATTCATAGAACCATTTTCCCGAACTTTAGGCTATGAGCCAACCAAGTGCCGTGACCTGGGAATGGTTCTTCTGAAGAAGGAAGCATTGGAGTTCAGCTAGTAATGTACGATCATGAAGAAATGCCGAAGCTATTAAGATGTTTGAAAGAAATTTGTCATTCTTTGGTGCGACTCGACAAGAGGAATCGCCTATTGAAGACAGATTTATATTCAGTACAACAAAAAGGACTACAACAACATTACATCCACAGAAGACTCCCACCTTGGCAGCATGACGATAACCAACGACCATTTATGTATGTAAAGAAGTCTGAAGCCGCAAAATTCTACACGGGAAATCCGTGTATAAAAAATGGTAAAAAACAGAAGAGGAATCATCGAGGTCACCGTAAAAACAAAAACGATATGGAAACGGTTTTACGGGTGTGTAAGTTGACTTTCAGCCGTTTAGCGCCAAAAGCTATCAACCTAATGCCTCTTATCTCTGCTCTCCCACCAATGATCCAAGCATCAGTTAATAAGATTCTTTTCCTATTGGAAAGTATCAATCAACTTTGTGAGGAAAAAAAGGCTCTTCAATCCAAAGTATTTGTTGGATGGGGTTAGTGATGGGTTTTTGAGACTTTGTTCTACGAGACACAGACTTAAGAAAACCAGGAAAAGAAATCAAGCATGCTATCCTCTTGTCTCCCGCCCTAGGAGCACCACCACACTTGGCAGTGCAATTGTTGTCTGAGCTCGCTAACTCGTAAGCTTTTGATACTTTCTCAACCTCGGGATCTACGGTTCTTTTTCCCATTTGTTAGAATGACGACCTCCTTCTTCTCCGTTTTTACATGCTTTCTGTCTACGCTGCTCACGCTAGACATCCATGACCCTAACTTTCTGGGTATGTTGTTTATCCTTCTTCTTTGTGGTTATATTATCTACTTCACGCATCATTTCATTCTCAGATGCCTAAAGTATCCTGCGTTCGTGGGCTTAATGATTTTGACCGGTTTTTTTTATCTACATTTCCATAGTTCAGTGTGTTTTTCCCTGGCTTTTCCCCATGGTTTCTTACTTTGCCAACTCTTCCTCCATGTGGTTAACGGTATCCACGCTCTCTGCTGCGGGTACTTACGTGTTGAACTCCGGATTTTGCTGGACTTGCACCATTCTTCCATTCGCCACAATGATCACCATTTCCCACGCTTTGGGCCGCGAATCTTATTAGTGGTCCGGTGAAGCGGAACCCAAGCTGTGGGGATCGTACGGTGTCCTCCTCCGCTATCAACGTTGTTTCAATTGAAGATGCTACCAAACTAATTCGTACTGCAATTGAACCATTCGCCAACTTTGCAACTTCTGCAACCAGTCCAGCACCGTCTCCCGCCAATCCAGCTGAGGATCTACAAAAAGTTATTCATGAAATCCGCGCACTACTTGTCCCCCTAGAAACTCTAGTTCTTTCTATCGCCAATACCGTTGCTGAAGCTCCTACAGCCACCTATATTGCGATGGCTATGGAAAACCTCGCCGACAAACTTGACCATCTCACCACTGTTGAAGACACAGTTGTTACTCCTTCTATGCCTTCTCCCACCCCGCCAACTCCAGTTTCCACGACGCCAACATGCTCTGACACCATGCTGACACCCCGGCGATCAGAAGTTCATCCCAACATCACATGCGCCAACCAGTTCGCTCCCCTTGCTGAAGATGGCTCAGAAGACTGCAACTATGACGATCTTACTATTGAACAGAGCGCGAACGTGAAATTCACAACAGTGCGACGAACTCCTACTTCAAAAGCTCGAAAAGTAACCATCAACCTTGCGTCTCGTGACCCCATTCCCGACGAATTAAAAGAAGACTTCGCCAAATTGTCCGAAGCTGAACTACTTGACAAACTCCGCAAACGGGAAGCAGAACGCAAGCAAAGCCGAATGTGCCCCTGAATTCCTGACAGACGAAGAAAAGGAAATGTCGATGGATCAATTACATCGAAAATGGAAAGCTGAACGTCAACGATGCAAGGAAACCCGTGAGATGCTGCGAACTTCCGATTTTGAGCCATTAGGTAAACTCTCCGAAGAACAGAAGCTACTTCCCCGCCGTGACGTCCAACGACTCCAACAGAAAAAGTGAAGTTTGGGCACAATCCATGCGTTCCAGGGGTATTGAAGTTCTTGAATGTGAGGTGTGCCATCAATTGTATACGGAATTAAAAGGAAAGCACCAATGCATCGCAACTCGTTGGCAAACAGACGGATCCACGCCAGCTACTACGAAAGGCTTAGTCGTTACACAATCACAAGGTGGTCTACGATTACGAACAGCTGCAATTACAGATGAAGCCAAAGTATTAGCCGATTATTCAGAAGAACTGGCCTGCAAGAGAACGTGAAGCTTAAGCAATCGTTGCAGCACTACAAAAGTTTGATCATCACTTACGTAGCCGCACATTCGTTGTGCACACGGATCATGAAAGTCTAAGATGGTATGTGTACGGAGACATATGCAGATGAGACGTAGAGAGATGGAGACACATGCAACAAAAACAAACTTCAAGTACTTGAACTCAAAACTGGTGTATGTGTACGGAGACATATGCAGATGAGACGTAGAGAGATGGAGACACATGCAACAAAAACAAACTTCAAGTACTTGTACACTCTTCTTTATCACCAATATTCCATCAAACATACGTTCATTTTTTTTAGACTTATCCAATACTAGCATGAAGAATAATATACTCTATTCCATATAGATAGGGTTCCATAGCTCAGTTGGTTAGAGCGTACGGCTAATAACCGTAAGGTCGGCGGTTCAATCCCGCCTGGTATTAATTATTTCCAGTTCTCATTATAGTTGGATGGCGAACTCAAAACTGGTGTATGTGTACGGAGACATATGCAGATGAGACGTAGAGAGATAGAGACACATGCAACAAAAACAAACTTCAAGTACTTGTACACTCTTCTTTATCACCAATATTCCATCAAACATAAGTTCATTTTTTTTTAGACTTATCCAATACTAGCATGAAGAATAATATACTCTATTCCATATAGGTAGGGTTCCATAGCTCAGTTGGTTAGAGTGTACGGCTAATAACCGTAAGGTTGGCGGTTCAATCCCGCTTGGTACTAATTATTTTCAGTTCTCATTGTTGTTGGATGGCGAAACTCAAAACTGGTGTATGTGTACGGAGACACATGCAGACAAGACGTAGAGAGATGGAGACACATGCAACAAAAACAAACTTCAAGTACTTGTACACTCTTCTTTATCACAAACATACGTTCATTTTTTTTAGACTTATCCAATACTAGCATGAAGAATAATATACTCTATTCAATATAGGGTTCCATAGCTCAGTTGGTTAGAGCGTACGGCTAATAACCGTAAGGTCGGCAGTTCAATCCCGCCTGGTACTAATTATTTCCAGTTCTCATTGTTGTTGATGGCGAAACTCAAAACTGGTGTATGTGTATGGAGACATATGCAGATGAGACGTAGAGAGATGGAGACACATGCAATAAAAACAAACTTCAAGTACTTGTACACTCTTCTTTATCACAAACATACGTTCATTTTTTTTTAGACTTATCCAATACTAGCATGAAGAATAATATACTCTATTCTATATTGGGTTCCATAGCTCAGTTGGTTAGAGTGTACGGCTAATAACCGTAAGGTTGGCGGTTCAATCCCGCCTGGTACCAATTATTTCCAGTTCTCATTGTAGTTGGATAGCGAAACTCAAAACTGGTGTATGTGTATGGAGACACATGCAGACAAGACGTAGAGAGATGGAGACAACTTCAAGTACTTGTACACTCTTCTTTATCACAAACATACGTTCATTTTTTTTAGGCTTATCCAATACTAGCATGAAGAATAATATACTCTATTCTATATAGGGTTCCATAGCTCAGTTGGTTAGAGCGTACGGCTAATAACCGTAAGGTCGGTGGTTCAATCCCACCTGGGTACTAATTATTTCCAGTTCTCATTGTAGTTGGATGGCGAAACTCAAAAAACTGGTGTATGTGTATGGAGACACATGCAGACAAGACGTAGAGAGATGGAGACACATGCAACAAAAACAAACTTCAAGTACTTGTACACTCTTCTTTATCACAAACATACGTTCATTTTTTTTTAGACTTATCCAATACTAGCATGACGAATAATATACTCTATTCCATATAGGGTTCCATAGCTCAGTTGGTTAGAGTGTACGGCTAATAACCGTAAGGTTGGCGGTTCAATCCCGCCTGGTACCAATTATTTCCAGTTCTCATTGTTGTTGATGGCGAAACTCAAAACTGGTGTATGTGTACGGAGACATATGCAGATGAGATGGAGACACATGCAACAAAAACAAACTTCAAGTACTTGTACACTCTTCTTTATCACCAATATTCCATCAAACATACGTTCATTTTTTTTAGACTTATCCAATACTAGCATGAAGAATAATATACTTTATTCCATATAGGGTTCCATAGCTCAGTTGGTTAGAGCGTACGGCTAATAACCGTAAGGTCGGCGGTTCAATCCCGCCTGGTACCAATTATTTCCAGTTCTCATATTCCATCAAACATACGTTCATTTTTTTTAGACTTATCCAATACTAGCATGAAGAATAATATACTCTATTCCATATAGGGTTCCATAGCTCAATTGGTTAGAGCGTACGGCTAATAACCGTAAGGTCGGCAGTTCAATCCCGCCTGGGTACTAATTATTTCCAGTTCTCATTGTTGTTGATGGCGAAACTCAAAACTGGTGTATGTGTATGGAGACATATGCAGATGAGACGTAGAGAGATGGAGACACATGCAATAAAAACAAACTTCAAGTACTTGTACACTCTTCTTTATCACAAACATATGTTCATTTTTTTTTAGACTTATCCAATACTAGCATGAAGAATAATATACTCTATTCCATATAGGGTTCCATAGCTCAGTTGGTTAGAGCATACGGCTAATAACCGTAAGGTCGGTGGTTCAATCCCGCCTGGTACCAATTATTTCCAATTCTCATTGTTGTTGATGGCGAAACTCAAAACTGGTGTATGTGTACGGAGACATATGCAGATGAGACGTAGAGAGATGGAGACACATGCAACAAAAACAAACTTCAAGTACTTGTACACTCTTCTTTATCACCAATATTCTAATACGTTCATTTTTTTTAGACTTATCCAACACTAGCATGAAGAATAATATACTCTATTCCATATAGGGTTCCATAGCTCAGTTGGTTAGAGTGTACGGCTAATAACCGTAAGGTTGGCGGTTCAATCCCGCCTGGTACCAATTATTTCCAGTTCTCATTGTAGTTGGATGGCGAAACTCAAAACTGGTGTATGTGTACGGAGACACATGCAGACAAGACGTAGAGAGATGGAGACACATGCAACAAAAACAAACTTCAAGTACTTGTACACTCTTCTTTATCACCAATATTCCATCAAACATGCGTTCATTTTTTTTAGACTTATCCAATACTAGCATGAAGAATAATATACTCTATTCCATATAGGGTTCCATAGCTCAGTTGGTTAGAGCGTACGGCTAATAACCGTAAGGTTGGCGGTTCAATCCCGCCTGGTACCAATTATTTCCAGTTCTCATTGTTGTTCATGGCGAAACTCAAAACTGGTGTATGTGTACGGAGACATATGCAGATGAGATGGAGACACATGCTGATCTGCCGAGATATACCCGACTAGATTTTTGTTCCGGAAATGTGAGCTTGTGGCTTGGTCCTTTGTTCTAGTGGGTTGGTCCTTGGGTTCATCGCTCGTAAGGAACACGAGTGGCTGTTTAACGTCTCCCAGATTTCTTCGTGACGCCTTGCGACTGGTTCTTATTCCTCTCGCTAATCTCATTATTCTCTTGGGTGGAACCTTCTTCTTCGTGTCTTGGACAACGTCGTCGAGAGTGCGTAGTTGGCACAACGAGTTTTGCGCGACCTTAGATGAGGTGCTCTCGTCACTGGACCCCTCTACATCGTCATAAACATCAGAATCGTGTTTAGCGGACATTCTGCTCTTCGCTCCCTTGCCTAAGCGATTGTTAGATGAGTTCAAATTAATTAGATGTTAATTTGAAGATTGTTCTAACACTGATTGCTTTTCGGCAGTTCAGAGTTTGGTAGTTGGATGGAAGTCCAACCTCGACTGACGTGTTTGTTGTCTGTTTTACCGTTCATGATTAGATCTAAAAAGTCCCCTTCTAGCTAAAAATGCTACTAAAGAATTTAACAATAAGTGCGGCGGCAGTCGCTCAAATCGTCGCCAATATTTAACCCATTTTGGCAGACAATAGATTGATCTACTACGCATCCATAACATAATTAACTAGACGAACTTCCGACACTTTGCAAAGTAAATCTGGGGGATTCACTTGCTCCACTACTCTAATCGCAGCGTTTACACTCTCACTCAAAGAAGAACTTGACGAATCGTTCAAGGGCGATCCTTACATCAATGCTCCCCAGAGTGTAAAAAGCACGCCTGTACGCTATCCAGACGGCTGCATGCCGGTTCTTCTACTACCAGATGATGATTCTCCCTCCTCTGGACGTTCTTCTGCTTCTTCAAAGTTTATTTCATCTTCAACACTCTCCTCTACGCGTCTCCTCTTTGTCCTGTCGACTTCGGGTGCTTTGCTCTCTGGGATCCACTGAGCTTTCGGGTACATCTGTTGCATCTCTTCTCTCATTAAATGAGGTACAAATGTTGTCAATAATTTGCATTGCTCGAGAGGTACTACCCTTTCTTTGCCCTTTGTCCACAGAGGCACTACGACCAGCGCTTTATCAAGAACTTTTATAACTCGACTTGGGAAGGATCTTATCGCTTGATACTTGTTTTCTCCAGTTATATGAGGTGTAGCTCCTCTTTCTGTCTTACTCAGTCGGTAAGTTACGATGTCGCCAATTTGGTATGTTGGTGATTTTCTCATTCCCATTTCTTCGTCAGCCGCGTCTTCCATTGCGCTAAGCTGAGATAGAATTAACTGCGCACTCTTATAGGTTTTGAGTTGCGTCAGTCGGCTTTCTTCACTCCCGTTTAGCTCGTAGTCGTCGAGCCCGGGTAGATGAAGATCTACTCCGAATGTTAGAGATGCCGGGGAATCACCAATCCTTCGACTTGGCGTAACATTGTACAGCAGGGTAGCGTTTGAAACGACCTCTTCAACTTCAGTATCAATTTCCCAAGGGTAAGTCTTTAACGCGGTTTCCAAAATCCGATGAGCGCTTTCATTCACACCGTTGCCTTGCGGGTACTCCGATGATGAATAATGCAATTTCGCCTTCAGAATTTCCTCAACGTAGAGCTTGAAGTTTAAAGCGGTGAAAGTGGGGTCTCTATCGCATAAGACTGCCTGAGGTGCTCCAAACCGATTTACCCACTGATCTCGTAGACATCGCCTCGCTGCTGGAGTTTGGATGGAATCCAGGACCACGGTTACCATGTAACGAGAATAATGGTCGACAATTACTAAAATCCAAACTTTTCTTCCGTTGAACATCCGAGGTCCGATGTAGTCTAATGAGACAAGTTGGAAAAGCATGGGCTTTTCTAATGCTCCTTTCACTCCTCCGGTGCTCCGTAAAGGCTTTATGGCGTTGCACATGGGACAAGCTCCGATGAAACTGACTACTTCTTCCTGCATGCCCGGCCACCAGACGTGTTTTCTCAAACGGTTCACCGTTCTAGTCACTCCCTGGTGTCCTCCGTATTTGGACATGTGGAACCAAGCAAGAATTTGTGCACGGTACTTCCGTGGCACGTAGATTTTCTTCACTCTCCGTCCGTAGGGTATATCGTGGAACCAATCTATAGTTCCTTTCTTCATCTCTTTTTCCTCTTTCATTGCTTCCTCCTTAAATTCTACCGGATTTGGCAAACTCGAAAAGGTCTCCAGCTTTGTGGACAAGATGAAGAACTTCTGGTACATACACGTTTTGCTGTAATTCCTCGTCTTCTAGAGAATACGATCTACTCAACCAGTCTGCGATGTTATTCGATTCGCCTCTGATATGCACGACCTCTGGTTGGTATTCTGACAATCTTAGCGCCCAACGTCGCACTTTTGGAGAATCGATGTTCAACAAGTGCTGTAAGGACTTATGATCGCTATACACTAAAGGTTTACTCCCCTTTATGTACATTTCGTAATTCTCACACGCCCACACAATTGCAAATAGCTCTCTCTCCGTGGCTGACCAATTTCGCTGTCCTTCGCTCAGTTTCTTACTCGCGAACCCCACGAAATCTAAGCCTGAGTTTGCATCATTTACTTGTGCTAGAGCGGCGGCGACCGCTATGTCTGAAGCATCTGTGAATATTATGAAGGGTTTTGACCAGTCCGGCATTGTTAGGTACACGGCATTTGCAATTGCCATTTTCGCCTTTTGAAATGCTTCTTCCTCATTTGCTCCCCAGGCGTACTTGACGTACTTTCCGGTGAGGCGAGTGAGTGGCTCCATCACTTCTGAGAAGCGAGGAATGTAAGCTCTCAAGTAGTTCGCGGCGGCGCAAAAGCTTAGAATGGACCTTTTAGTAGTAGGTGCCTCAGCCATGACTAAACCTTGCAACTTTGCTGGATCGGGTTTTAGCGTCCCCTCAGACACAAGATGGCCCAGATAAAGAGCTTCTTTTGTAAAGAAATGGCTCTTACCGAAGTTTATATAAAACCTCGTTTGCCGCAATATCTCAAAGACTTGCTTCAGTAGCTCTAGATGTTGAGCAATTGATCTAGTGAAAATTATAATATCATCGATATAAACCGAGACATTTCCATCGTCGATCAAATTTCGCAAAGCCTTTTCAATTGCGCGCTGGAATATCGTTGGACTCGTCCTCAGACCGAAAGGCATCACTTTCCAGACGAATATTCCTCTTTCAGGGACTACGAAGCCGGTGAATTGAACGCTCTCTAGCGTCAACGAGACGTTCCAGAAACCCCAGTTA